TGATTTCTTTATTATGATAAAATTAGAAGACATAACCTTTCATAATTTCAAAACTTGTAACAGTTTTGTAAAAATGGTTTTCAAGTTTTTTTCTTTGCTACAAATTTTGTAAAGTTGCTACAGGTACATATAAACAAACTTGACATGATGTAACAAAACACTTCTCTTTATTTCCTGTAGATTGTTGTTCTATCAACAGGCACATATTTGTTGTTGGTGTCTCCTTTAATGATGTTAGCAGCTATTGATGATCTTTGCTAGATCCGTTAAATCACTGGCAGTTGGAAATGGTTCTGTTTTAATGCCACAATTCTTTTCTCATTTATTAGCAGATACTTTTATGAAAAAAATCCTTTTATCAATGATATGGTTGCCAATGATATCAGAAAGGCAGGATAAATGTTGGATTTTTCCTATCAGTTACTATATTCTAAAATAAAGTTTTGCATTCCTCACACCTTCATTAGTAATTAGTAGTTTTTATAAACATAATTGTTAACAGTTAGATATGAGCATATTTGATGGATTTCAGTCCACTCAAGACAGTCTCTTCATGCTCAGATTTTCTCCTCCTTTACTCCTGGAAGGCTCTTAAATTTGGCAAAGTTATTTTGACACTGCTCTGATAGTCTTGTGGAGGGCCTCCACACTATCTGGCATGACAAGGTGTCCCAGACCTAGGCTGTATATCTTCTGCCCTAGACCAGGAATCAGGCATTTCTCCAAAGTGAACTGATTAACTGATTACTTTTAGTGGGAAATTATATCTGAACACCATAAATTGGACTCAAGGTATGCTCATTAGTACTGTATTGATCTTTGTTTCCAGACATTTTAGAAAGCAGAGCCAGAAAAATAATAGATACATGAAAGATGATAGATAGAGGATAGATAGAGATAATAAATAGATGAAATAAATCAAAAGTTCATCTGCGTGTTTTAATTCAAATTCAGCCTTTAAGAGATTTTGCATAATTGATCATACTATATTTTGATCTCCTTTCTTCTGGTTTATAATGCTGGGAATAATTTAAAATAACATTTGCTTTATTGCATGATGCACATAAAACATTCTCAGTTAGCAATAGCAAAAACAACTGATATGAATACTATCAACATTTGTGACTTTTTTTTGGTAGTCTTTCCTGTCCATAGAGTATATCTTGCTGTAAAAATATAGTCAAATTACTGTGACTGAAAGTCGCTTGGATATTTTGTTTGTGCACATGTGCATTTTTAATAACTATAAATATATGTTTAACTTCACTTTTTAAATTATTTGACCGTTATTTTATTTATTTATTTATTTTTGAGATGGAGTCTCACTCTGTTGCCCAGGCTGGAGTGCGGTGGCACAATCTAGGCTCACTGCAAGCTCCGCCTCCTGGGTTCACGCCATTCTCCTGTCTCAGCCTCCCGAGTAGCTGGGACTATAGGCGCCACCACCATGCCCGGCTAATTTTTTGCATTTTTAGTAGAGATGGGGTTTCACCGTGTTAGCCAGGATGGTCTCGATCTCCTGACTTCGTGATCCACCCATCTCAGCCTCCCACAGTGCTGGGATTACAGGCATGAGCCACCGCGCCCGGCCTTGAGTTATAGTTTTAAAAGGTTTTCCCTCTCCTACTTGGAGAAAAGTTAACCAAATTTTCCTCTGTGTATAGTTTTATACTTTCACATTTCAATCTGGTCCTTTTGGAATTTACCCTGATGCACAATATGATGAAGTCACCAAATTTTATCTTTTTAATATTGTCTCTTTTTGTTTAAGTATTTTTTTCCCTTACTGTTCTACTATGCTGTTTTTCTAGTTTGGCGCCTTGGTTTTTCCATCTATTCATGCACCAAAAATGCATTATTTAAAGTATGTTTGATGTCTTGTAGGCCTTTTCTCCTTTTTGCTCATTTTTTTTTTTCAGGAAGTTTTTTTTTTTCCCCCTAGCAATTATTTGTATTTATTTGTTCTTTACGAGAACTTTCTACTCATATTCTAGCAATTCAGGGGAAATAAGAATTGTGATCGTATTGGCATTGCTGTCAATGCTTAAATTAGTTAGTAGAAAACTCGATACGTTATTTCTCAAATTTTTTTGTCTATTTTCATACCTTTCTTTTATCTTTTGAAAAAATCCCAAGTCAAATTGTATATTATGTACCAACATCATACAATTAAAAATCAACATTTTGGCTGGGCGCGGTGGCTCACACCTGTAATCCTAGCACTTTGGGAGGCCGAGGCAGGTGGATCACAAGGTCAGGAAAATCGAGACTATCCTGGCTAACATGGTGAAACCCCGTGTCTACTAAAAACATAAAAAAATTAGCTGGTTGTGGTGGCATGCACCTGTTGTCCCTGCTACTCGGGAGGCTGAGACCACAGAATTGCTTGAACCCAGGAGGTGGAGTTTGCAGTGAGCCAAGATCGTGCCACTGCACTCCAGGGTGACAAAGTGAGACTCCATCTCAAAAAAGAACAAAAAAAATCAACATTTTAAATTACAAAGAAATCAAAATGATGAAAAGGCATTCAAAATAACTTAAAAGATAATAGCCTTACCAAATTAGTTCAAACCATACATTAGTTCAAACTATACATTCCAAACCAAAATCATTGCTGAGAGAAAGCCAATGAAATTTAAACACATGCAGAGACACAAGGTGATCACAGATCAGAAGAATCAACAATGTCAAGGTCTCAATTTCCCAAAATTGATTTACACATTTCATTCAATCAAAATGTCTCCTTTTTTCTTAAAGTTAATATTTCCATACTTTTGACATCTTTGAATTCCTCTTGTCATACAATACAAGAGAGATCCTCACCACTTTAAGTCAAACACCTCTGTTCCCAAATGTCCTACACATCTTCCTTCATTTATTTCTTCTTTCTTCTACTTGCATTCCTAGGTTTAACTACAGACAAAGACAGCAAGACTAAGAAATCTAGTCTTGCTAGATGCATCTTGTTTAATGAAATGCCTAAGAAATGGAACATAGGAAAATGTAGAGGAACATAGGCATAAAAGCATGTCAACATTAGTACAACTGATCTTTGAAATGTCAGGAGTCGCCATGTAGTGAAAAGCAAATTAATATATGATGCTGAAAGAAATAATGATCATGATGAATTTAAAAATATTACTGGCACTGATATGAATATTCTTCAGGCAATATTACTTTATACTAAAATGAATCCCTAATAGAGAGTCAAGTTGCTATCCACTGCAGGTTGGTACATCAAAGCCATTTTTTTTTTATTACTGCACGAAATTTTTCATGGTTTCTTACCATTTAAAACCAAGAAAACCTGTGACAATAATGAAACAGCATTAGAACGACGGGCTTTGAAGCCCATGCTAATATGAATTACAAATGATTTTTATAATGGATTCATTCACTATAACAAGAAAAACAACACAAACAAAAATATTTTAAATTGTGCTTACTTGCTTTTGATTATGCGTAATGTCTTTCACCATCTTGAACATCACTTAGATGTTTTAAAATTGAATAGTTAATTTGAAATTGAGTATAAAGCAAGAACAACTTACTGAAATTCATGTGTAACCACAATGGTAATAACAATCTTCATAACAATTCTTTTGTCCATCAACATATGCAATATGTCTTATAACAAATTAAATGTTGATCAAAACATTAGAGAAATATGCATACTTTTTATATAAGAAAACCGTTAGTACTTTGTTATTCTGCAAAATTTTAAAGTAGTCTATAAATCTGTACGCTACAAACAATAAAATGAAGCCAGAAAGAAGTGGGTAAGAGGATTATTGCAAAAGGAAGATATGGATAGTAAAGTATAGCCAACACAAGAGAATGTATAAATTAAAGATGTATTCAGAAGAGATTTGGAATACCCAGTATGCATGGCACAATTCAGGACACTCAGTACAAAAAGATAAATAAATAAGATGGTTATTTATAATCCATGGATTTAATATTGTAGGGAAGATAGACAGTAACTCAGGTAGAGTGTGATAGATTTAACAATACCATTGTACTTAAGGAGCTTGGTAAAATTATTGGCGAGTGTGATTAAATTTGCCCGAGGGAAGAAGAAAGGCCAGTAAGCCTTCGAAGAGAGGCTGGCAGGTGGACAGCAAAAATGGCAATGTCTTTAAATAGCAGTTCTGCCTGGAAACTTTTGCAATAAAGTAGCACGTTTTCTGACAGTTTTTACAAGTGACAGTGGCTAAAGTGATAATTTCTGTCACAATATGCTGTTGTAAAAATTTTTAAAGGTAAGATTTTAGAATATGTGATTATATATTGGTTATATATAATATAAACTTATAATGTTGGTTACTGAGTAAAATATTTTAAAATATTATAGTTCATACAAATATACTTTAAGAAAATACACTATTTCTATTGGTTTTATGACGGCCTTACTTTGTGTTTAGTTTATATCCAGGGTTTTTTTTTGTTTTGTTTTGTTTTTTCATGGATTATAAAGTGTTATAAAGGGAAAATTGTCTTTCTGACATGAATTTTGATCTGATTCTTCTGATCATATGTTTAGGTCTTCTGCAGTGATACTTAAATAATCTATAGGAACTGAAATTACTTGGATGTATTAGGCAGCATTTTCCAGAGAAACAGAACCAAAATATACTCAATAGAATATGTGTGTGTGCGCGTGTGTGTGTGTGTGTATATGTGATTATGTAAAATACTTATAGGATATATATGTGATTATATAAAATATTTGTGTGTGTGTGTGTGTATTTCCTTCCCTCAGCACCATTTAATGTATTAACAGCTTTAGAAAACACTTAAATTCACAGTTTCTTAAGAGCAGTACATTTAATACCTTTTCAAGATTTCAAATGAAAAACACACATTCATGCTACCGGTTTTAAATTTTCCTTGGATAACACCAAAGACGTGGTACTCAAACTGCATAAAACATGAGGAACACGAACTATCATTTTGACACAAAGACAGGTGAAAAAAAATAAAGGCAATGTGGAACTACTCCAGCACCAGTGAACTTCCTGAAATCTCCCACTGTGTCCCACTCCGGTGCTCATACCACTGCGTTCTACTCCAGCACATGGAGCCCTCTGCCTCCGCAGTTCCTAGTCCATACACGTCATTTCAACAAAAATGTAAATATTTAGAGATGTGTCACTGAATGAGAATTATTACAACATACTTAAAAAAAAAATTATTTGTTGAATGTTGAAAGAAGGGGCTAGAATCAGTTAAAATTTTGAGTAGAAGTAAAACTGTGGAGTGACTTTTCATTTTATTATTTATTTATTTATTTATTTATTTTTTTGAGACGGAGTCTCTATCGCCCAGGCTGGAGTGCAGTGGCGCGATCTCAGCTCACTGCAAGCTCCGCCTCCTGGGTTCACGCCATTCTCCTGCCTCAGCCTCCCGAGTAGCTGGGACTACAGGCGCTCACCACCACGCCCGGCTAATTTTTTGTATTTTTAATGGAGACCGGGTTTCACTGTGTTAGCCAGGATGATTTCAATCTCCTGACCTCGTGATCCTCCAGCCTCAGCCTCCCAAAGTGCTGGAATTACAGGCGTGAGCCACCGCGCCTGGCTATTTTTTTTACTGTTTGAGATAGGGTCTAGCTCTGTCCCCCAGGCTGGAGTGCAGTGGTATGCTCATGACTCACTGCAGCCTCAAATTCCTGAACTCTAATATATATACATTTATATATAATATATATTTGTATACACACATACACGTGTGCACACACAGGTATTTTATATAATCACATATATATCCTATTGATATATATTTATATGTAATATATATTACATCCCAAGAAATAGAATCAATATATTATCATCAGAATCTATCAATACTATATATAAAATATGTTTTGATATGTGTGCGCATATGTGCTAGTGTGTATATATATAAATTTATTAAACATATGTATCTGTTGATATGTTCATAAAATACCCTATTTATATAGAATATTTAAATTGGGATGATTTTTCATTCTCTATATAATATATAGGATAATAGGATGAACAACATATAGGATATATATATAAGATGAAAAGTCAGTGCTGTGATTCCAGTCTGAATCTGAAGACCTGAGAACCAGAAGCACTGAGGGCAGGTTAAGATGGATGTTCTAGCTCAAGCATTCAGGCAGAGAGAGTGCCAATCCTGCCTTCCTCCCGTTTTCTCATATTCAGGCTCTCAATGTATCCTATGCTGCTCAGCCACGTTGGGAAGGGCCATGTGCTTTATTTGCTCAGTACACCAATTGAAATGCTAATCTTTTTAAAGAAACAACTGTATAAACATACTCAGAAATTATGTTTGATCAGATATCTGGGCAGCCTGTGTCCAGTCAAGTTAACACATGAAATTAATCACCACAGAGGGTCTGTGCTTAATTATTATAACCTCATAAGTGAAGGCTTTCTCTAACTTTAGTATTGTGGAGCAAGCAGGGATGTACATCATGCCTAAGCAAAAATGCAGATAACAGATCATTTCTACTGGAAGATACTTCATGGGTAGGGGCACCTCTCTTTGACCACTTTGTCATCAGACAGCCTCTCTGGAAGAATTTGTTTCTCCTTGTAGGGAGAAGAAGGTACTGTTAAAGTGGGGATTTAAAAATAAGCCTAAAATGTGCAAATATACAATATTTAACACCAAAAACCTTAAGAGTAGACATCTTCATTTTTAGTTTTCCTTTAGAATCATTAAAAGTAGAGAAGAATCCTGGGCGTGAAGCTTTTTCTGAGAGAAGCGTTTTTAGGAACTGCAGGAAGAAGTATTCATTAGTACTTAAGTTGTCATAGTTATTAATAGTTCTGAGAATTTCCCTTAGATTTCTCAGTATATTCGGTGGATGTTCAAACCTTTGCAGAAAAGTTGACCGGAAAGAGAATTAGGAAATTAACAGAATTAGAAGATAATTATAATCTGGGAATTATTCTTACAGTAGAAATGAAGTGTCAGTCTAAAGCTATGTATCTCATACCATATTTACTAAAATTATTTATTTTGCTGGTAAAGCATGCGTAAGCCACGTTTGTATTTCCAAAAGGATATCCAGCTCTTTCAGTGACTACTACTAATGTCTCTTTTCAAATATAATGATTATAGGACCTTAGTTCAAATAAAACTAGCGTATATATGTGGTTCTATTTCTGGACTCTAATATGTTCCATGAATCTGTATTTCTATCATTATTCCAGCACTAACTTATCTTGATCTCTGTAAGTTTGTATAAAATCTTGAAATAAGGTGATGCACACTGCCTTTGTTCTTTATTTAAAAACTATTTTGGCTATTTGAGGTCTTCCTTTTCCATAGAAATTTAAAACCTTCTTGGCAATTTCTCAAAAAGGGGATGTCTGCAGTTCATTTTTGGGGAATTATATTGAATCTATAGGTCAATGTGGAGATAATTCATATATTAGTAATATAGATTTTTCCAATCCAAGGTCATGGAGTATTTCTCAATTTATTTAGCTCTCTTGACTTCAGGAACTTTTTCTACTTTTTGATTTTTTATTTTACTTCAAGTTCCGGGATACGTGTGCAGAATGTACAGGTTTGTTACATAGGTATACATGTTTCATGGTGATGTGCTGCACATATCAACCCGTCATCTAGGTTTTAAGCCCTGCATGCATTAGGTATTTGTCCTAATGCTGTCCCTCCCCTTGCCCCCCACCGCCCGACAAGCCCTGATGTGTGTTGTTTCCCTCTCTGTGTCCGTGTGTTCTCATTGTTCAGCTCCCACTTTTGAGTGAGCACATGTGGTGTTTGATTTTGTTTCTGTGTTAGTTTGCTGAGAATGATGGCTTCCAGCTTCATCCATGTCTCTACAAAGGACATGATCTCGTTATTTTTTGTGGCTGCATAGTATTATATGATGTATATGTGCCACATTTTCTTAATCCAGTCTATCATTGATGGGCAGTTGGGTTGATTCCAAGTCTTCACTATTGTAAATAATGCTGCAATAAACATACATGTGCATGTTTCTTTATAGTAGAATGATTTATAATCCTTTGGGTATATACTCAGTAATGGGATTGCTGGATCAAATCGTGTTTCTGGTTATAGATCCTTTAGGAATTGCCACACTATCTTCCACAATGGTTGAACTAATTTATACTTCCCACCAACAGGGTAAAAGCGCTCCTATTTCATCACAGCCTTCTACTTTTAAATGTTCAGGTTCCTTATAAGTTATGTGAAATTTCTTTCTAAGTATTTTGTGTTTTTATTACTGTAAATGGTATTATTTTTATGGCAAAGGTATTTTTCTTTGTGGATATAGAAATACAATTAATTATTGCATATTGAGCAGTACCTTGCTCAAAAATATATTTACTTATTCTTACAGATTTTTAAAATGTAATTTCTGTGAGTTGCTTACAAATTATCTGTGAATTAGTTTTACTTCCTGACAAGATTTATACCTTTTTCTTTGTTTTCTTGCCTACTCTACTGCCTAGGGATTCCAGAAAAATTATGAATAGAGGTGGTGAGAGCAGATATCCTTGTCTTGTTCCTGATTTCAGGGAGAAAATATGGAAATTTTCACTGTCAAATATGAGGTTAAATGTAGATTTTTAAAAGAGATTCTTGATCAGATTGAGGACATGTTCTTATATTCCTAGTTTGATGAGATATTTTATTATTAATTGATACTGAATTTTGTCAGATTTTGGAGGCATCTATCTTTATGATTATATGATTTTATCTTTTGTTTTATATATGTGGTGACGTCCATTGTTTTATTTCCATTCTTGGGATAAATCCAGCTTCATCATGGTATTGTCTATGTTATATACTGTTAGATTCATTTTTCTTATATTTTCTTTTGGATTTCTGTGTCTATGTTAGTGATGGTATTATTGTTTTCTGGTATTATATTTTTCTGCATTTGGCATAAAGATAATAGTATTTTTATAAAATTAATTGGAAAGTGCTCACTGTTGATTTTATGAAAAAGTTTATAGACGCTGGATGTTATTTTTTCTTAAATGGTTGACAAAATTTATGGGCTATGTCATCTTGGTCAACTTTTTTTGTGGGAAGATTTTTAATATAGATATATTTTTAATAGTGGTATATTTGATTGATACTATTCTTGTGTCAGTTTTAGTGGGTTTTGTCTTTCAAGGAAGTTAGGATGATTAAATTTATAGTTTTATTTTCCAATGTAATTTAAATCAATTAAAAAACACTTCTGTATCTGGCAATTTAGATATATTTTTATTGGTGATTCCTTATGTTTAGATAATATAATCTGGAGGATTTAGTCGTATTATATACTTATTTAGACTATTTATGTTCCAGAATATTAAGTATCTTAGATAATATTTAATGTATTTAAAAAGACTATTCAGGAATTGTTGGTTGTTGTGTATTATCAATGTTTATTAGGTAAATTTTGCTAATAGACTCATTCACATCTTCTAAATTCTGATCTAGTTTAGTCTACCTGTTTTACTTTCTCAGAGTGGAATGGTATAGCCTCTACCTATAATTGTTGATTGATTCCTTTTACTACTGTCAGGATTTCCTTTCAGTTCTTCAGGTATTTGGAAGCGCTGGTAGTGGCATACACATACAGGATTTTTATGTCTTTCTTGTGAAATGATTCTTATTATTTTGAAATGATCCCCATTATATCTAATCATGTCGTAATGAACTTGGGCTCTGATACTAATAGAGACTTCCCAGCCATCATATGATTGGTGTTTGCATGATGTGCTTTTCCATGCTTATGTTTTTAAATCTGTTTCCAATCTTTTCCAGTTTGCATTATTTCTGATGCACTGTCACCATTGTTCTTGTTTGTTCTTTGGTGCATTAAGTGACTTTTTTTCTCTAGCTGCTCTCAATATTTTTATTATTGATTTTTAGAAATATTATTATGATACACCTCATTATAATTTCTTTATGTTTATCCTAATTAGAGATTATTAAGTTTTTTGAATTTGTGGGTTTGTATTGCTTCATAAAATGTGGACATTTTCCACTGTCTGTTTCTTCAGTCATTTTGTGCCCTCTCTTTTGGAACTCTGACTCCATGTATGTTGGACTGGCTGATGTTTTATCACAGTCAGTGACTGATGCTTTGCTCATTTATGTTTTTTTT